TTTTAGCACTTTTCCAAAAAATTTTGGAAAAAAAGTGCTTATTAGTTTCACTCTGTCCGTCCGTATGTCCGACCGTCCGTCTGTCCGTGTGTCTGTTTACAAAACTTTTACACCCTTGAAGATAGAAAGCTGAAATTTTGTACGTATATAGATCTTTACTAGAAACTTATTTCCGTAGAACAAATTTTTACCTATCTCCCCCCCTCTAGAAGTTATACCCCCCTAAAACCCTAAAAATGGCCTTTTTTAACTATTTGTTGCAATAAAACCATAAGCATTTTTGAAATTTTGCAAACGCAGAAAGGCGTGGCTTGCTTCCCCTCGCGCGGTATACTATAGTTAAACTTTAAACAAAAAAAAAAAAATGGCCATTCAAATTTACCGTTATCTAAAGTCCTTTTTTTCTAAATTTTGAAAATTTCTTTTGAAATTTGCAAAATTTGAATTTTTGCCACCTTATATTTCCGAAACCCCAAGCCTTTTCAAGTTTGTATAAACGTAAAAAGTTAACGGTAAATTCCATGACATTAAAAAATATAATTATTTTTCTTAACCCACGCAATTAACTCTTAAAATCGAGGATTATGTTAACCCCTCTTTATATTAATTTTAATCTTTATTTAAATCGTTCATCCGAAATATATGCAATCCTAGAAATAGTTTTGTATATGAATGAAAATAATTTTAATATTGTGATAGGTATACGTAGACTGTATTTAAAAGCAGAATTTTCACTAGTTGCTGGGAAAAGTGCTACAATACAAACCATTGGTTTGACCCAACTTTATTTTATTTTAATTCTTGCCCTAAAAGTATACCATAATTGTTTGTTGCGCAATCTAATTTTAGTATGTTAAACAAAGTATTTAAAATCTGTTTTTCAATTCACGTGCACACCACTTCTGAAGCCTCTGAACTCAAAATTTAATTCGTTTTTTCATCCCTTTCTGCCTCATGCAAATCTAAATATAAGCAATCTTTTATCTGTTTTTATTACCTTAATTACCTATTTTACACAGTAATTATCAACATTATTTCATTAAAAAAAAATAACGCCAGACTGTCATTTTATAAAATGCATTTCGAAAATATTTCGCACGTGGCGTCATTTGTGAACTTGAATTTCCTATTTTTCTTTATTTTAGTTAACGAAATCAAAAATAAAGCTTTCACAAAGAAAAAAAAACCAGAAACATATGTAGATATTTTTATTAATATTTTTTTACTAGGAAGCAATATGCTTTCAACAATATATGAAAAGGGAATGAAGTGTTAAGAAGCGAAGTTTAGTTTTCTCTGCATTTTTCTTGTAGAAGAGAAAAAGACTTTTAATATCTGCATATACACTTGCTAGCTTTTGTACTTTTTTTTGGAAAGACTTTTTTGTTTTTTAAAATTAGAATAAGACAATAACTTAAAAATGTAGTAAAAAATAGAACAGCACAGGTGTTTTTTAAAACTAAAGAAATTTTATATATAGAACTCACATTTGAATATATGTACATATTACTATAATATTTATTTTTTATGATATATGTGCTTATGTATGTTAATGTATATAAAGAGTACAAGATGTTGCACAATCTAATTTATTAATCTTGAATAAAGTTTGAAAACCAATAAAAAAAGAAGTTCTTTTGGGTGTCCAAGTTAAACTTATTTTTAACGAGAAAAAATAGAGCTGACCGTATCAACTCTGTAATACCCGTCCGAATTTGTTATCCTAAGTACGAATATATGTATATGTCATAGCTAACTATCGAACAGATTATTACTTTAAGCTGCCATATTACCATATTAATTTATGCAAAATTTCAGTACTGTGTTTTCAATATTTTCTCAGATATGACCAAACTACTGTTAAAGTTGCATGACAGCTACCAGAATGAACTGATTTTTATTAGACACATTGGCCCTACTGATATATGTAAATATGCTTGTGTAAAATTTCAATATCACAGTATTTATAGTTTCTGAGATATAGCCAAATAACTTTGGAAGTTGTATTACAGCTACCAGAAAGAGCCAAGCAATTTCAACGACTTTTCTCAAACACATTGGTCCTACTAATATATTCGTTTGTGTGAAATTTTAATACCACAGCTTTATAGCTTCTGACATATAGCCAAATAAATTTTGAAGTTGTATGGCAGCTATCTGAATTAGTACCCAGATCATGTCCAATTTAAATAGGCTTCTGGCACTTACTACAATAAATCATTTGTGAAAATTTGGTGAACTTAGCTCAATAAGTTTTTGAGTTGTCGCTGAGACGGACGGACAGGCAAAGCTTAATCGACTCAGAATTTCACGCTGATCAAAAACATACACTTGAGTATATATCTCAGACCATTATTTCTTAGCGTTACAAACGGTAAGGCAAATTTAGTACACCCTTCGAACATATGTTCGTACGGGTATAAAAATACTTACGTGTATATGAAATTTTGCTGTTAAATTAGAGTTTTTGGTAAATTGAAGTTACTATACTTAACGTTAAAATGTTTCTGTAATATAAGTACAAGATGGAATATAGTAGAAAAAATTATCGAATGTTCAACGTTAAGAATATTATAACTATAAGGGTTGTGTAAAACTTTGACACTTTTAGAAATAAATTTACTTTAAAGTTAGTCTAATAATTTATATACATCTTCATATGTGATTATAGAGTTAATTTTCACTATAATTTTAAACTACCATGTATTTCGATACACACGTATGTATGTATGTATATATAAAAAATGGTTATTGTATAATTGCATTAAATTTTAAATTAACATTAGAACAAAAATTTAGGAGATCACATACACATGCTTAAAAACACATGTATATGAGCTGGAATAAATTCTCCCTTTTATTATGTTACTTTAACTTTTCTTAATTACCTTAAATGATACAACGTGTACATACGAGTAATACAACAATTCTAATATTTAGTCTTGCACAATTAAATGAAACAATTAATTCACAGAAACAATAATATTCAATTGAAAGCGACTTGTTGTCTGAAAATATACAGGATATTGATATTGAAAATTCAGAGGTATGCATATACATATATATAAAATATAGATATATTATGCATATATGCACATAACCATAGACCATTAAAATTATGTCATGCAAACAACAACATTTATCATATAATACCTATAGTTATTTTTGTTCTAAAATATATGTATGCATTGGACATTCATGTGAATAATTGCATACATATGTCGTATTTTATTTTTGATTTGATTGTATACTTATTTTTGTAAATAAATAGTATTTAACATCATTGCAATTTGTTGCACATTCATACATATATCCGAGTTTTATTTAAGTATTATATATTTATTAATGTGCAAGTTTTAAATGTGAACATATATTGAATATAGCTTGCATACTGAAATCAAATCTTTAAAAAATGTCGTCAACAATTTCGAATTTTATTTCAAAATATCATTTATTTTGAATGTTATGGAATACAGAGACAGTATAGTAAAATTCATTGTAAATATTAATGTTCAGACTTAATAATTTGTTGTCTGTCAATTCTGTTGCTACATATACATATTTGCGTATATGTAGTAACGGAACATATAAGAGAATACCTTATGAGTTTATTTTCCTTACTTGTATGAACGAGATATGTTCGAAGAGCATTAGAAAAATGCATTACCATTTGCAACGCTAAGAATTAATGACCTGAGATTTAGATGTAAGGGTTATGTTTTTGATGAACTTCGAATTTTGAGCCGATTTAATCATGTCTATCCGTCTGTCCGCCCGTCCGTCCCAACGATAACTCAAAAACTAATAGAACAGTATTGCACAAGCAAATATTTTATTAGGGCTCTTACATTTGAATATTTGATAAAACTATTCCTTGGTGGTAGTTACCATATAACTTCGAAAATCACTTGATCGTATAATATGATAATTATTGAAATTAGAAATTTCGGATTAACGAATATAGTAACATGACTATTATTTTCGATAAAATCTTTGGTAACTGCAATATGTGTTTATATAAGATGCTATACATATAAAAACACAGTAGTACATGGCAAACAGTGTGGCAATTAACAAACAACACCGTCAACTCTACTTATTCTGCTTTTAAAGTAAACTATGAATTCAAGCATTTTTGCACATTAAGTTTTTTCTATTTGTGGCAAAATCTTCAAAATTATAATATTGCAGTATTATAATAAACAATTCAGCTTATAAGTAATAATTGCTGAATTGCGTATCAATACAGTCCCAATGCCATTTTCCCAGACAGTTACAGAAATTTTTAATCTTCAAGTATATTTTTATGACTTATGAAATCTCTAACTAATCAACAATGGCTTTTTTTATTCAAACTTTTCTTACTTAAACTTGAAGTGCTAAAGCTTTTTCCAAAATTGAAAAAAAATGCTTATTAATTTTTCGTATGTACATATTTAAATCTTTATTGGAAACTTAGTTCCGTAGGAGAAAATTCTTACGATCTCTCAAAGTCCTAAAAATGCCATTTTTCATCTATTTATTGCAGAGAAAATTATTGGTTTGTAATGTAGCACATTTTCGTTAAGCTGAAATCGTTAAAATACTGATTTAAAAACAATCAATATATATTGATTATTAAAATTACTTTCTTTATATATACATATATATAGCTGCTTTTCAAGTGTCAAAAAGTACGGGTGCTTCTAGAAGCGTTAGAGACATGGAACAAAAGGCATTAGATAGGGTTTATAGGCCTCTAGGGTCCCAGAAAAAGCATTAATTTGTACCCTTCCAGCTTCATCACCTCCCCCTAATATAGTGGAATTATTCAAAAGTATGCCAAAAATTAGAGCACTAATCGGGAATATTTTGCATATATGTATTCATTTGCATATAATAAGTACATATGTATATGTACAATTCTTTTATTTCCATACATTTAATTTTTTTAGTTTATGAATCCAAATACATTCAGGATGTAGACTCACTCATATTACTTTAAAATATAATAAACTCACCTTTAGCTGGTTTTGATTTTGATTTCCTGACAGCTAAACTTTCTGAAAATAGAAGAAGACAATAGTATTAAAAAATTAATTTTTTGAAATTTGTATACTAGTGTGTATGATATATTAAGGATTATAATATGAAATATACATAAAATACTTACATCAATGTATATTACAAAACTGTATTAACACTAGTGAAATTTCAATTTTTATACCCGTACGAACGAATGTTCGAAGGGTGTATCATATTTGCCTTGCCGTTTGCAACCCTAAGAAATAATATTTCGAGGTGTAGACAAGTATATGTTTTCGATCAGCGTCGAATTCTGAGTTGATTTAACAATGTTTGTTCGTCTGTCCGTCCGTCCTAAAGATAACTCAAAGACGGATTCAATAAGTCCACAAATTTTGCATAAATGATTTATTATTGTAAACGCCAAAACTCTATTTAAATTGAATATGATCGTGGTACTGGTTCGGGTAGCTGCCATACAGCTGCCCACAAAATGTATTTAAATATATCTCAGAAACGATAAAAGTATGGTATTGAAATTTCGTACAAGCGAATGCATTAGTCGGGCCAATGTGTTTCATGAAAGCCGTTAAAATTGCTTGACTCCTTCTGATAGCTACCGTACAAGTTCAAAAGTTATTTGGCTATATCTTAAAAACTGTTTAATCTGCAGTACCGAAATTTTGCAAAACAAATGTGGTAAAATGACAGGTATATCCATTAAAAGTTGTTCAGATCTCATGAGCGCTTGTGATAGCTGCTCCAAAAGTTATTTGGCCATAACTCAGAAATTATTCAGCACGTAGTTTTAAAAACGTACAAGTAATTATATTGTTAGGGCTGTTACTTTTGATAAAAGTCATTGAAATTTCCTGACTGCTTGTGGTAGCTGCTGTACAACCTTATAAGTTGTTTGTTCATAGCTTAGAAACTATTAAAGCTACCAAGCTGAAATTTTAAACAAACGAATTTGGTGGTGTGGCCATCATTTTCAGTAACTGCGATATATGTATAAAAGAGCACTGGACATATTTTAAAAAGCAAGAGGTTGCATGAAACTGTGTGCCAATTGTCTCCGGCATTTAAAATCAAATTTTCTTCGGATATCACAGAGTTGACACGGTCAACTATATCTATTCTCTTTTTTATGTGATATTTGATAAATCAGTGATTTTCAAACTTTTTCAACTCGTGATCTTTCAAAAAAAAAATTTACTCTCGAAACTCACTTTTAAAAAATGCTTTTATTTTACATTTCGTTTGCAATATAATTATGGAGAAAAAGGTGCAGCATAACAAAATTTTAAGAGTCTTAATTTTGAATTTTCTCAATTTCTCATGTAAATCAGCTCATTTTCTTATAATTTACTAAATAGTTGTCGGTCACAAACTATTAGTGAATTTAAAATATTTAAATGGAATTTCACAATTTTCGAAGGTAAAATTTGATATTTTTTTTTATCAAAAAAGAACTAAATGTACATACATATTCTATCAAAAAATAGTTACAATATTGGCCTCCAACTGTAATTAACAAGCATTTGAATAAAAAATTTACAATATAAACGCACTAGGGTAGATGCCTCTATTGCGGATCGCATTAAATTCGAACGTGTTCGAAAATGTTGAAACAATGTTAAGAGCTTTATGTATATATCACCCTGCATAACCAATTGATTTAATATATAAAAAGAAAAATTTAAAATTAAATTAGGTTGCTCTTGACTTGCAAATATAAAAATTTATATTTATATATCGGCCCGGCGGCGATAGTGATTGTAGTTAATTTGAAATGATCTTGAATTTTACATCACAAAAATAATAATATTGCAGCTCTTTACGCATTATCGTACTATTATGTATAACATTCATGATACATACAAAGTGTTGATGAATAATATGTTTTGTATGAAGCTCTTCAAGAATAAATTCATATTGAAATGAAGTTACTATACATGTCATAAATGCCTGTTTTAACCTATTCCTATATAAACTTATATCATACTTCGGAAGAGTTAACGTATGTACACCCAAAAGTAAAATAGAGAATATGTAATACATGTAGCCTACATCTATTTTACTCTCTATAAAATATGTAATACATTTAGCCTACATCTATTTTACTCTCTAGCAGACAAATAATACATAGGAAGATCTATTACGCATACAATCACAATGTATGTACGTTTTCTTTTTTTCTGAATAGTATTTTCTGAGGAAAGTCCTGGAAAGCTTTTGCGGAACAATTGCTAAACAAACAATATCAAAAATCTGATGTGTACAGCACATTAGTGATCGCAATGTATATTGCCTAGATTAGTAAAAGCATTCCAGAAGATGATGACAATGCGTTTTAAACACTTCATTACAATTTTACGGGCACTAATAAGCCTTTGATTTACATACCTAGAAAAATTTGACTCTAAGTGGAGTTTGTGCCGTTCGAATTGCACGAAAAGTTCTTCAGTAACTTCCGGTAACAATCAGAACTCAAATATTAAATTTCAAAAAATTCTCTTTATATACGCTAACACCTGATTTCTTTCAAAAGTTGGGTGGTTTCGCGATTGAAGCTTATGTATCAAATTTCAAGTAAATCTGTTGAATATTTTCTTCATAATGATAAAGAATGTAAAACAGACCCGTTAAAAGGTCCAGTTCCCGAGGCCTGATATATCCCAAAAATCAATCAGTGCTATAGTCGAAATAAAGTTACATACATATAAAGTTATCAAAATCGATTCAGCCAAACTTGAGATACACGCGTGCACACACAGACAGACCAACATCTCTCTAAAAGTAGTTTATTTCTACTTCCTACTATGGAAAAGTGCGTTCCCACCGAAAACTCGATATGCAAAATTCGTTGCCATCACATAACCTCCCTTATTGTATGGAATGCGGTCGGTAAAAAGTAAAAAAAAAAATCATTATATCCCAAACTTATCTTTATTACCGACCGTATTGTGTAAACAATAGGTAGGTTATGTGATGGCAACAAATTTTGCATAACGAGTTTTCGGTGGGAACATACTTCTCCATAGTAGGGAAGTGTAAATAAACTATTTTTAGCAACCTGTCGGTCTGTCGGTCTGTGTGTGCACGCGTGTATCTCAAGTTCGGCTGAACCGATTTTGATGAAATTTGATATGTAAGTTTATTTCCACCATGGCACGGATTGATCAACTTTTGGTATATATCAGGCCTCGGGAACTGCACTTTTTAGCGGGCCTGTTTTATATTTTTGAACATTTTGAAGAAAATATTCGACCGATATAATTGAAATTTTATATATAAGCTCAGCTCGACCGTCCGCGAAAACTTCTATGTTTTGGAAGAAATCAAGCGTCAGGAACTAGACGTTTACTACGGGCCAAATATACATTTTTGTGTATATAAAGAGAAATAATCAACCGATTTAATTGAAATTTAATATTTAAGTTTCTCGTATTAAAACAATGAACATGTAAATTTTTTGGAAAGATCAGACATCGCCAACTAGACCTTTACTACGGGCCAAACATACATTTTTGTGTATATAAAGAGAAATAATCAACCGATTTCATTGAAATTTAATATTTGAATTCCTCGTATTAAAACAATGAAAATGTAAGTTTTTTGGAAAGATCAGGGCTTGAAAATTGATCTGCGGGCCGATTTTACATTTTTCACCATATCTACGGAACGAATTGATGGAATTTCTTGAAATTTGATATTTGAGTTCTGGTTGTTACCGAAACTAACGAATAGCCAATTTACATTTTTATATAGCTTACTTTTTTTGTTTTTTTTTTCCTTCTTCACTCCTAGGAGGAGTATAGGGCTAGTGCATGATATCTATCATGGCCTAGTTTCTATAGTCATAGAAAGTTAGCTAGGTATGTGACTTAGCCTACCGTAGTTTTTTTTTTTTTTATTTATACGAGTATTAAATATTTCAGTTTATTAATATTTTCTTTTTAATTTTCTTAGTCTTTAGTATCGAATATTATGAATATTTGAAAATTACTTGTATAATATTTATTAGTATTGTATATTAAGTTATAATAATATGGAATATAATTTTTATAGTGACCTGACCGGGGTTTGAGCCCGAGGCCCTTCGGTTAAAGGGCCGGTGCCATAACCACTGCACCAATGATCAGATAAGCTTACTAATGTCCTAAAAATTGGAAAGAAGTATTTAACAGACATTTTTGTAATATTCTGTACCATTTTCATTTAACTAGACAATACACAATGCGATCGGTTATGTGCTGACCACATCAGATTTTTATTTTTATATGATTAACTTTATTTTTATGCATTATGATTTATTATTCATTCACGAATTATATTTCTTTGCTGATTTAGTTTATAGAAATTTCTAATGCATTATAACAAAATTAAGAATGAATAACATGTAATGGCTTTTACTTGGTAGTAGGCTTATTCAATTTGTGATCTTGTATACACTTGTATAAAAAGTGTATTTATGATACGATTTTGAGAGTGTTATTTTTTTTTCGTTTTCTCTTTGTGTACGATTTCTTTTTATCACACATCTGGCTACAATTTGTGTATTATAATAAGTAGGGCTGGGATATTTAGGTAAATACCTATCGGTTATCTTTCATATTTAGATCTTAGGGTAATAATACAAATTTGTTCCATTAAATTTCTTTTTATTTTGCATCGATTTCATTTTACCTTTTTTTAAGGTTTTTTTTAGGTATGGGAACCTGTTTTACATTTTTAAAATATCTCGAGCTAAAACAGATTTCTAGAAAGATTTGAAATAAAAGTTAGAAACGTTGGCAACTTTTTTTTAATTATGGATTTATAATGAATAAATGAGTTAAATAAACTAGGAAACTGCTAAGCTATCACTAGCTGCTCGAACATCAATAATCGAAAAGGCTGTCGATGTTATGGAAAACGTAAAAGATTCAATTAGGGCTGAAATTAAAGCGAAGAATCACGATATGTTACAAACAAATATAACAAATATATATTTCGATCATATGCGATATCTTAAATGGAAATTTTGTAACAC